TGGCGCCTGCCTTTGGCCCAGGGCGCAATCCTGGAGACCTGGGATCGAATCCCACGTCGGGCTCCTGGTGCATGGAGCCTGCTTCTCCCTCTGCCTATGTCTCTGCCTCTCTCTCTCTCTCTCTCTCTGTGTGTGGCTATCATAAAAAAAAAAGATCAACTTTAATAATGAACGGAGTCAACCTGTTATAGGTAGGCCAGTGGTTCTCCACAGGGGAAAGGGGAAGAAGAAGATGTATCAGAATTATCCATTACTCAGCTCCAAGCCTAGAAACTGTTATTGGTGTGGTGAATGAGAGCCCAGGCTTTCCAGAAAGGTGGACTAGACTTTGGTTCTCAGTTGTATGACATAGGGCCAGTTCCTTAACATCTTCAGAACCCCCAGTGTCCTCATTTGTAAAATGTGGCTAGTGGCACTCACCTCATGTCCCTGTGAAGATTACATGAGACAGCAGGTGTAAAGGGCTTAGCCCAGAGCCTGGCTCAGACTCCCAGTGCCACTGCTCCTGCTAGAACACCACTACTTTGTCTTCCCACTGTGTGCAAGACTGACCTTTTGTGACCTTCTCCCCACATGGTCCACACACCTTACAAGAGGGTGTGAGGCAATTGCCAAGGATCATCTTAGCATTTCCTTGACATTGGCTTCTGTTTCACATCAAGTCTACTCACTGATCTGCCTCCCCCATCCCCATAATACTTGAGCTCCAGAGGGACAGGAACTCCATGTTATTCAGTGACTCACACAATGCCTGGCACATAGAGAGCGCTCATTGAATATCTGATAAATAAATGAATACATGACTATGCATTTCCCCCCTACCAAACCGTGCACTTACTGAGGACAGGGAAACACATCTTTGTTCTCCTCATGCCCTGCCCCAGGAGTTGGCACAGTGCCTGGCACATAGTAGATGCTTTATGCATATTTGTTGAATTGAAAAAGAATTTAGAAGAGAATATATTTATATGTACTTGGATATGTTGGGAAAATTCTGTGGGAAGAGACCCTGGTGAGAAAAGCTGATTCTAGAAAAGGAGACTGAGAAGGGTTTGGATGGGAGGGAAATTTACCTTTCTCTGCATATGCTTTTGTTATGTTAGAATCTTCATCATTTGCATATGTTACTTTAAAAAAAAACCCACTATGTTTATTTTTTTAAAAATCCAATGTAGTGCAGAGCACCTGGCTGGCTCAGTTGGTGGAGCCTGTGACTCTTGATCTCTAGGTCATGAGTTCAAGCCCCACATTGGGAGTAAAGCTCACTTAAAAAAAAATCCAATGCAGTGTAAATGAAATAACTGACTGAAAAATGAAATGTGCAAAAAAAATGAAGAGGCTGAAAGTTTTTGGCCAGGAAAAAAATGTCACCTGAGAAGGGAGGGCTTCAATGGGTATTTTCCATTCTTTGGAAGGTTAGAAGGAGAAAGTTGACCATCTGTTCTCTGTATCTACAGAGTAATAGGAAATGGGCTGAAATTGTAGTGGGAGATGTGAGTTAAACATAAATAAGTCATTACTGCTGATAGGAGTTGATAAACACCAGAAAAAAACTGTCACAGAATGTGATGACCCATCCTAGAAACTTGAAGGTATAGAGAACTCCTATGGCTCTGCTTGTTTACTTGTCCTCCCACAGAGAGAGATGGCTAAGTATATTGAGACTTTGTCTCTGTTTCTGACACTAGAAGAGACCTTTAATCTGGTGAAGGTCCATGCTGTCATCATTCCATTTTCCCTTCCTGGTGTGAGCATCCCACCAGCCCAACTGAAACTCTGGCAATTTCCATACACATGGCCCCCAACCACAAATCAGCTATTGAGTTTGGGTCTCAACCATAGAAATAATGAAAGGGTCCAATGCTGGGGGAAAAATCATCTGTGTTGAGGACTTGCTAAGAAATTTTCAAGGGCAATTTTTTTTTTAAGGCAATTTTTTATTTTATTTATTTATGATAGTCACACACACACACACACAGAGAGAGGCAGAGACACAGGCAGAGGGAGAAGCAGGCTCCATGCACCGGAAGCCCGACGTGGGATTTGATACTGGGTCTCCAGGATCGCGCCCTGGGCCAAAGGCAGGCGCTAAACCGCTGCACCACCCAGGGTTCCCTCAAGGGCAATTTTGATTAGGTCTGCCTACCACCTTGAACACTACCATCCAACTGAGTCCCTGCTGGTTGTCATTCCCATCATAACTTCATACATTTGCTACATATGTAGGCATCCTTTATCAACATGGTTTTAGACATCACATAAATGTACATGCTTTTAAACATGCCATAAAAGACACTGTACTACAAGAGAGGCAGCTCAACAGAGTAGTTAGTAAAAAAAGACTCTTAAACCAGACTCTCTCCTATCTCACTGCCTTAGCTTCTTCAACTACAGAATGAGGATGATGAGGATAATGATGATAGTATCCACGTCTACTGTTTTTTATGGTATAAATGAGATAATATATGTAAAGCACTTAGAACACTGCATGGTACCTAATAAATTTATTTTTCAAGGTCAACAGTAGTCATTTAGTCAGGAACACTTGATGATTCTATGCTTCTGGGGAGTCAGCAGTAAACAAAACATATAACTCTCTCTCCTCATAAAATTTATGTTTGGATGTTCTAGAAAGAGTGCTGAGGCCAGTCTGCCAGGAGCAGAGCAAGCTAAGGGGACAATAGAGAGAGAAATAAGAGACATACTGGAAAGCCAAATCACACAGGTTCTGGTGGGCCATTTTCAGAACTTTGGTTGTACTCTGGAGAATTACCGAATTTTTCAAAACTTGTAACTTCGAAATGACATCAAACTTGCAGAAGAGTTGTAAGAAAAATGCAATTGTTAACATTTTGCCACATTTGCCTGATCATCTCTCTTTATATTTATTTTTGAAACACTTAAGAGCAGGGGCACCTGGCTGGCTCATTCGGTAGAGCGTGGGATGCTTGGTCTTGGGGTCATGAATTTGAGCCCCACACTGGGGGTGGAGATGACTTGAAAATAAAATCTTTAAAAAAAAAGAAACACTTAAGAGTAATTTAGAGTTATGGTGCCCCTTTACCCTGAACACCTCAGTTGGCGTTTTCCTGAGAACAAAAAGAGCTTCTTACATAACCAGAGTATAATTACCAAAATTGGGCAATTTACCTTGATGTAATCCTATCTCTTCTATGGTCCATATTAACATTTAGCTGACTGTCTCACTAATGCCATCTATTACAGTCTTCCTTTCTGATCCAAGAGCAATCAAGGATGACAAATTGCTTTTAGCTGTCATTATTTTTTGGTCTCCTTTAATCTGGAAGCATTTCTCGAACTTACCTTGACTTTCATGATGTCAACATTTTTGAAGTGTACAGGCTAGCCATTTTACAGAACATGCCTCAATTTGGGTTTGTCTATTCTTCCCTCATAGTTCCAGTTATGCATTTCAGGCAGGAAGAGCATAGAAGTGATGTTGTGTTCTCAGGCCATCACATTAGGACACACATGATGTCACTCTATCCCATGATTGAAGATGTTAACTTTGATCTGTTAATTAAGTTGACATTCACTAAATTTCTCCAGTGAAAAGTTATAATTTTTCCACTTATAATTCATAAGTGATCTGCAGGAAAATACTTGGAGTCTGCATAAATATCCTGTTCCTCCTTGTCTTAGTGTTTTTGGGCTGCTGTAACAAAATACCATAGACAGGGTGACTTATAAACAATAGACAGTTATTTCTCACAGTTCTAGAGACTGAGAAGTCCAAGATCAAGACACTGGCCAATTCAATGTCTGGTGAGGGCCCACCTTATGGTTCATAGATGGCCATCTTCTTGCTGTGTCCATACAAGGCCAAAGGAATGAGGGAGCTCTTGGGGGGTCTAATCCCATTCAGGAGAGCTTCACTCTAATGACCTCCCAAAGGCCTCCAAATACCATCACACTGGAGATTAGGATTTTGACATATACACTTTGAGTTCTGTTAACAATAGTGGAATTAAAATTTTTAAAGAAAGCATGGCATTGCAAAGAAAGTCCTTCCAAAGCCTGGTCCCTGTGGACTTCTCCCTCTCCATCCCCCACTACTCCCCTTCCTTAAATCCTATACTTTACCTATACTGAACCATTCAGAATTCCCCAAATGTCCCATTCTCTTTCATTCTTCTGTGCTTTTGCAAATGTTGTTCCCTTTGCCTAGAATATTCTTTTCACAGCTTGGCCCCCACCACCCTTAACTACCTGAAGATTCTCCACTCATCCTTCAAGACTCAACACAGTTATTTTTTTCTTCTGTGAACCCTTCCCTGAGCCATTACTTCCCCTTGCATCCCATCCCAGGTAGAAATCATCATTCAAGCTATTGTGGGATGAAGAGTTTCTCTCCTTTGGCCACCTTTGTGGACTCCTAGGAGAGATAAAAGTCACCTTTTCAGGTTCTTTTTGTCCTGATGTATCAAGGGTAATGGTTGGCTCCGTTGATACAAGTGAAGCCCCAGTGATGGAGTGCTGGGATCCTTGAGGCTTAACAGTGATAGGATTCTCAGGAGAGCAGAGGCCTGCTCAGATCACCCTGGGTATATGGATAGGCCAGAGCTCAAAGGAGCCTGGGACATAGGGAAGAGAAAGACAGGCTTAGTTAACTAGGATACACAACTCAGTTGAGTTTTGAGGCTTCTATAAGAATACTGCTTTCTGGGCAGCTCGGGTGGCTCAGCAGTTTGGCACTGCCTTCGGCCTAGGCCCTGATCCTGGAGACCCAGGATCGAGTCCCACGATGGGCTCCCTGCATGGAGCCTGCTTCTCCCTCTGCTTGTGTCTCTGCCTCTCTCTCTCTCTCATGAATAAATAAATAATTTTTTTTAAAAAAAGAATACCCTTTTCCTTAGTGGCCTCCAAATATCTTATATTTTTTTAATGTATCCTCTACACCCAACATGAAGCTTGAACACACGATCCCAGGGTCATGAGCTGCATGGTCTATGGACTCAGCCAGCCAGCTGCCCCTGTACCCTCCAGATCTTCCTCTTTCTTCTTCTTTTTCTTGTTATCTGGTGGTGAGCTGAGATCATCCAAGTAGGTCACACCCTTTAAATCAGCTGGAAAACTGTATAACTTAAGGTCATCCTCCTGCAAAGGTTTGCTTCCTGAAACATTTCCTTCAGGGTTTTTGGAGATGAGTCTCATTAACAGCTCTTGGGTCCCATCAATGTACTCCAGTGTTCAGAGCTCTCCAGTCAAAAGCCACTAGGAAGGAACACATCTGTATTTGGACAACTTGAGTTTATTACTTGTTGCAACAAGGCAAATGACACACTGCGGGAAACTGTGAGGCAACTCAGTAAGAGAGAGTTAGGAAAGACTTCTGACAGGATTTGGCCTTTGGTTGGGTAATTTGGGGGTGGTTTAAGGAGGTAAGGGTTTGCTTTAGATTGGGTGCTGTCAGAAAGCAGGGACAATTCTGATTGGGTATCTCAGTAAGTCTAATCTACAGTGAGAACCCACTACAGTGAGGATAAAGCTATAGGTGTCCTCTCTGACCCATAGGGGATCTATTCTGACACCTCCAGTGGATGCCTAAAACCATGGATAGTACTGAACTCTACATAGACTATGTTCCTACACATATATATCTATGATAATGTTTAATTTATACATTGGGCATGGGAAGAGATGAACAACAACAATAATAAAATAGAACAATGATGACAATATACTGTAATAAAAGTTATGTGAATGTGCTCTCTCTCTCTCTCTTTGAAAATATCTTATTGTCCTGTACTTACCCTTCTTGTGATGATCTGAGATTACTAAATGCCTATGGATGAGACACAGTGAGGTAAATGATGTAGGCATTGTGACGCAGCATCAGGCTACTATCGGCCTTCTCATGATTCATCAGGAGGATCACCTGCTTCTAGACTGTGGTTGACCATGGGTAACAAACAGTGGAAAGCAGAATGGACATTAAGGAGGGACTCCTTCACTGCATTTCGTAGAGAGGCAGCAGTCACTCACATTAGCCAGGAGAGGGAGATGTTTGGCATTTTGTGGACTACATAGTGATCCCATTTTTGTCTGCACGTAGACAAAATTGTGAAGCAGCCTTCTTTGAGCTTACTCTATCATGGTCTTATAGTAACTTTGGCTTACACTGATGTTCCATATGATTGTTTATGTCTAACAGAAAACGTTGTCCAGCTGTGAGTACCAAGCCAGCTTGTACCAACACTAAAGCCTAGCTGGGAGCATCAGACCACTTCCTGGATGACAGGGACTGCTTCTTTACTTTCTCTCTTGGCCAAGAGATGATGAAGTCCAGCTATAAGACACTACTTCATGATACCCAGATTTCCCTACTGCTGATCAGGATGGCTATCTAGAAAACAAAGTCTGTAGTTGAGTTGGAGTTAGTCTCTCCTGCTTGCTACAGGATGAACTGTTGTATTTTCTGATATGAAAGTGACTGCACAGTCAGAAGTCAGTGTAAAAAGACTGGGAGATTTGTATCAGTCAATGTAACACAAGCAATTATCCAAAGCAAGTATCAGTAACAGGTCTTGAAGTCAGGGGCCTAAGGTTATGAAACCCAGCTAATGAAAATTTGTCTCAGAATCCAATCAAGTCTGTGTTAGACTAGAAGGTGGCTTTTTCTTTTAGCTTAGTCACAAACTCTTCTTCTTGCCCTGTATTATTTACATAAAAGTAACAAGTAATATTTGCTGTAATACAAACTCTCCCTTGGCTGGCTAGGAGGAAATTGAGGGGTAGGTGATTGTCTGTGACAATACTAGCTAATGAATTTAGACAAGTCTGTTGGGCTTCCAGAGAAGAAGTATGTCATTTATGACTTCTATTAGTGATAGAGACAAGTTTGGGGCCACCCATCTAGTTGTAGTCCTCCACTTTATGGGATTGCAGTTCATAGTGTAGGTGTAAAGAGGGAATCAATTATCCCTCTTGCAAGTTCTCCTGGATAACCTGTGTTTGCCTCATGTGAGAGGCTTCTGGGCGTCCTTCTCAAGGTATAAGTCTGATGTCCACAAAAATGTAGTACTTTAGTGAAGCACAGATTATATTAGAAACGTAACTATTATTTACTACAAGAGTAAGCCAATTTGTGTCTCTCGATATGGAGAAATCCCTTTAGTGGACTTAAACAGTTTTCACAAAGCAGTTGGAAAAGAAACAGGCCAGGACAACTGGAAAATCCCCAATATCAGTGCCTACTCCTGGTTGACTCTAACTTGCTGATAAGATTATAAGGACTTCAGCAGAAGCATTTTGTTGATGTGAGGTCAAGGTCCAATTTTTTTAAGATTTTATTTATTTATTCATGGGAGACACAGAGAGAGGCAGAGACATAGGCAGAGGGAGAAGCAGGCTCCATGCAGGAAGCCCAATGTGGGACTCGATCCCAGGACTCCAAGATCACGCCCTGAGCCAAAGGTAGACAGACGCTCAACCGCTGAGCCACCCAGGTGTACCAAGGTCCAATTTTTAAAAGACCAAAAGTTGGGGCCAACACTGTGAAGGAGACAAGTCCCAAAAGGAACCTATAAAAGGGAACCTACCTCCTGTGGTGTATAAAGGAATAGCTATTGAATTTTTGTCAGCAGGGATAGGTAGGGGGTAACAGATCCAGCAGTCAGCTAAATTCACTTAGTGGTTACAGAAAAAAAAAAAAAACATAAGAGAATTAGGATTTTTTCTCTCCAAAGGCAGAAGGAGACATAAGGAGGCAGAAATAATCAGATGGGAACAAAGGATGTCACATTAGTGTTCTAAAGGGCACCAAAGTAGAATAATAAGCAAAAATAGTGGGAGAATAAAAGAACAAAAAGAGTGTGTTGGAGAATCAGAAAATTAATCTTGTTCTGTCATCTTGGGCAGAAACTGTCCACCTCTGAAGTCAACAGCTTCTGGAGGATTCCTGAGAATCTAAAGCTTAAAGTGTCCAAGTGGAGAATGTCTGGTGATCAGGTTCAAGTGACATACATCTTTTGAGTTGGAAAACAAGGATGAGTTGGAAAACCTTGAATGTTTACTGCTATGATAGCTGTTAATGGGACCTAATAAGGTCCTTTTTGTGAAAACTCAAGAGCAGTTTTTCTTCAGTCTTTTCCAGAAGACAAAATATCCAACTTGCAGAGAGCAAATAGAGTCTGTTTAGGTAGATATTTGAAATGTGGCTTGCACGTATTGGTGATAAAGCCTGAGGTACAGTATGACTGTCTCATATGAACTAATCATATCTGCTTGTAATAGGGTAAAATCCAAGGCTGGGGAGGAGGTAAAATTTCCAAACACATAGGACTTATTATTTCTTAAAATATTTTTTTTAATTTTTATTTATTTATGATAGTCACACACAGAGAGAGAGAGAGAGGCAGAGACACAGGCAGAGGGAGAAGCAGGCTCCATACACTGGGAGCCCGACGTGGGATTCGATCCCGGGTCTCCAGGATCACGCCCTGGGCCAAAGGCAGGTGCCAAACCGCTGCACCACCCAGGGATCCCAGGACTTATTATTTCATTAATCCTTATTAATTCATGAGATAACTTGTGGGTCCCAGCAGGTAGTTGATCCTATAGACATTAAAGCTAATGGTAATACTTTAAGCCATAGAAGTGTTAAGGTTTCTGAGAGCTTTGCTAGTTTTACTATTGGAGTTCCACTAATTCTCTTTACTTTTCATGAGGACTCTGGATGATAAGGACAGAGGAGTTTCTAAGTAAAAGGGAGACATTTACAGAGCTCCTTAATAACAGTGCTAGTAAATTAGTTTCCCTGTCACTGGAGAGATAAGTTGGAATGCCCCAGATCGGAAAAAAAATGAAATCAACATTTTATTTTGCCGCATTAGGGCCTGTTATGTGTTGAATTGTGCCCCCAAAATTCATATGTTGAAGTCCTAACCCCCAGGACCTCAGAATGTGATCTTATTTGGAGATAGGGTCTTGGCAGATATAATTAGCTAGATTGAAATGAGGTCATCAGGGTGGGCCCTAATCCAATATGACTAGTGTCTTTACAAAAAGGAGAGACTTGGACACAGAAACAGGCACACATGAGATGCCTGGGTGGCACAGTGGTTGAGTGTCTGCCTTCCGATCAGGGCATGATCTTGGAGTCCTGGGATCAAGTCCCATATCGGGCTCCCTGGGGAGCCTGCTTTTCCCTCTGCTTATGTCTCTGTCTCTGTGTCTTTCATGAAAGAAAGAAAGAAAGAAAGAAAGAAAGAAAGAAAGAAAGAAAAAGAAAGACACAGAAAGGGAAATTGATGTGAGAAAACATAGGGAAAGGCAGCCATTTATAAGTCAGGGAGAGAGGCCTGAAACAGACCCTTCCCTCAGGAAAAACCAACCTGGGGTACCTGGCCAGCCCAGTCAGTAGAGCACATAACTCTTGATCTCAAGGTTGTGAGTTCAAGCCCCATGTCGGGCATACAGCTTACTAAAATCAATCAATCAATCAATAAAAAAGAAGAAGAAACGAACCCTTCCTTCATCTTGATTTCAGACTTCTTGCCTGCAGAGCTGTAAGACAAGCAATTTCTGTTATGTAAGCCACCCAGTAAGTGGTATTTTAGTACAGCAGCCCTAGAACACTAATACAGGGCTATTCTCTCTGACAGGACAAGCTTTAACCCACCCTGAAAACGAACAATAACCAGACATATTTATAGCCTATTGAGGAGACATTTGTATAAACTCTATTTGGAGGTGTTCAAAGGGCCCTCCAGTCTTTGGTCTCCATCCATGACCCACTTTATAGTTTACCCAGGATGGTGTTGTTAGCTGATAGACCATGTTTTGGAAACATTTTGACAATAACTCTAAAATTACTCCCACCAACAGTAATGTAATATCATGGCCAATTTATCTCCGCTGTTGTGGATAATATCATGAAGAATTCTTGCTAAAATCCATTTTTTTTCTAAAATCCATTTTAAAGGATTTGGCACTACCAAGTAGCCTCACTGACAGTGCCAAATACTCTCTTCATGCAATGAGCCTTCAAGTATTTCCCAGGTATCTTTTTCTCCAAATTAAAGGCTAACAACAGTTAATGACAATCCGTTTCTGACAGTTAACAACAATCTCAGAAGAATCTATTTATTCCTCCAAAGTCCTCTCCTTTCTGAGTGATCACAGGAGCAATCATCTGGGCCAAAGGTACTTGT